TTAGCTTTGGAGCAAATAGGGAGCTAATGTAGAGCTTTCAAGCTACTTGTGATATGAACTATTTTGTAAGCTGATTTTTATAGAAAAAAATTAATCCCCAAAGATTGATTTGGAAAGTTGGCTGTGATCTGGTGGTGGTTGGGGCCACAGGCGCAAGTTTGCTTTGTGAAGTTCGCCCTTTATTTGGAGCTAAGGAGTGGAGTTGGTTTTGTTGTTGATGATGCAGTTATGTGTTCTGTTGCTTTGTCTATCTGAGGCTGGCACAACTTCTGACCCACCAAGATGAATATGGTCTGCCTGCCAGATGTTTGACAGCACTTGCCTCTTCCCACCCAGCCCTTCAGGACTTGGCATGCGGTAAAAACAAGAGGTTTATTAAACACTCAGTAAATGCTTTTGCATCACTGGTGGACTGTGTTTGGCTTGGTAGATCACACGTTTTGCAGGTCTGGTCTAGAAACTCCTCGCCATTTTTTGAAACGTTGCTGGGCTTACATACCGATCCTAAACATACTTCCTTCGAAGGAAGTCCCAGCGAATGAAGCGTGCCTTTACTTCTTGATAGCATGCTTAGGATAACAGCCACCTTACACCTGTCCTTACAATTAGCGGCGTTAGCATCCCTTGGTTACACTGAGACAGGCATGAAGTTAGATCTGAAAAGCATTCCTGTGCATCTTAACCAATGTTTTCCTATTGTGCGGAGCTGCCTTGATGACTTGCTGAAATCTGGCTCCCTGAAAGATGCACTGGGCAGACTTTTCTTATTTGAGGGTTGTTCTCAAAGAGCTCCGTTCCCACTTGTGACACAACAGGGCTGAAACATGATTTCCATCTGCGGTTAGACTTATTCTGGCAATGTGCAGGTGTCATCTGCCTAGATCTTTACCCGGTCTTTGTCAAAGTATTCTGTGAATTTGTTAACTGGGGCAATACATAGAGACAGTAATCTCTCCTTATCTCCCTGGTCTTCCTGATGTAGCACTCAAAATGACTCGTAATGTGAAGGGAGGGAAGAAAATAAGGTGGAGCTGTCTTTCTAGACAACCCATTGTGTACAACACCAGTTGTTGCCGAGGTGTATTTCCCATCATTTCTGGCCTCTGGCTGTGGCTAAAAGCAGGACCACCAGGTCCCCACCACTGGTGTTCCTGGCCACCCTGCTCCTTTCGGAAGAGACTTGCGAGGGAAAAGCACAAGGTCTAGGAGTGACCTGTAGGTCAAGCTGCTAGAGGATTCATTTGAATGAAAAGCAGCATAGAAACCCAGTGGTACCTCAGTTTACGAACATCTCTGTTGATGAACATTTCAGTTTTTGAACATGGTAAACCCAGAAGTAAATGCTTTGGTTTTCAAACTCACCTCGGAAGTCGAACATGCCACACCGCTTTAGCTGAGTACAAGATCCTGAGGCCTAGCTATTGAGTTTTCAGTTTTTTAACGTTTCAGAACTTAAACAGTCTTCTGGAACAGATTACGTTCGAAAACTGAGGTACCACTGCATAACATAATAAATCAATCCAAACCAAACCTTTCGCCTGCTAGGCCTCCCTGTTTGGCCTGCAAGGTTGTTTCAGCCAAGACACACACACACCTAACATATCTGTGGGGGACAGGCATGATGTCAGGTGTGGAACAGGTAAAGGTGGGGCTTGGACAAATGAAGCTTTGCAGGATTGCCGGTGCTAGTTGGGAACTGCTTCAGGCAAAGTTTCAGTAAGTGTTTGGGAAGCCTTGCATACTCTTTTTTGACCAGGCGGTTTCATTTCAAACCATATGGACAAGCCAGGGCACCTGATGTCTTTAGTAATAATAATAATAATAATAATTTATTTATATCCCGCCCTCTCCAGCCGAAGCTGGGCTCAGAGCAGCTAACTACATTAAAATGATAAAACATTCTAAAATCATTTCATTATAAAATCAATTTTATAATTTGTGGCATCCGGTGATTGACAGGTGTCAAGCTTGAACCGCAGGTGTGCTTGGAGATAAGGATCTGACCTGCCGCCAGATCCAGATTCCCCACTTCTGATTTTTAACATCACATATAAAATTCTGCTCTTTGGTGTATTTTCAAGCTGCACAGAGCAATCTTTTGCATGGTTACTCTGAAATAGTACTTTGTTCTCCAATGCTGTAGATTGGCTACCTAAAAACCTTCATAGCTAAGGTTTAACTAAGCAATGACCTTGTCTTAAACATCTCTCATTTGAAAAGAAAAAAGAATCTTTTTTTCCACTCCTCTCTCCCCTCTGGGGCCCTCACATCCCTTTCTCCAGGTGAATGAGGCTGTAGGAAACCTTCCTTTAGTGTAAATATCAACTTGCTTTGTTTCCTTTAGTGTTTTGTGATAAGCACACACAGCTCTGTACAAAGAGCTCCACGTGCCCAACCAGCAGATGTTTGACTCTGGCTTGGGGAAGCCTCATAAGTTTGTGTTTAGCAGGAGGAGCCAGGCTGAAAAAAGCCTGGGGGTGAATTTCTGTTTAAGAGCGGACTCTGTGCCCTGCCTATTTCCCTTTTTAAAAAACGGTACGTGCATATGATGTGGCCAGTCTTAAGGAGGGGAAATAATTTCTGCCATTGAGAAAATTACATCTTTCTTGAAGGGCTTGGCTACCTTGGGGAGCAAGGGCTTTAAAATCTCATTTTTCTCAGCCTTGAATAGGAGAAAGCATTAAAGCACCGCTAATTAATGAACGACAAAGGACTTCCGTGGTGGTTAAGTCCTTTGCAAAGCAATTGAAAGTCCAAAGGGCGCTGAGGCAGAGGGGCTTTAGACGACAAAGAGTTTCACAGAACCGAAAAAACCATTTTTGCAGTGTGAGCATTAACGCTCTGCCTTCACCCCCAGCTTGTCTTGCCCTCGGGGTCGATGCGGGTTGGGAGAACAAGAGCAAAGTTGCCTAGAAATACCATCCTTAAGAAACCTGCTTGTGACATCAAAGCTCTCCCCTTTTTTGCCTTTTGTTTGCATCATGTATTAGGCAGTGTAGACACCATACCATTAAAGTGTCGCCCCCCAACCCGATTCTGGGCAATGTAACTTACCCTGCACCCTTAACAAACTACAGTTCCCACAATTCTGGGTTTTTTTTTGGTTTTTTGGTGGGAATGTGTTTTAAAGGTATGGAGCTGTGTTCGAAATTAGCCAGGCACCAGGCGCATTTGGCACCTGGCTTTCGACCACTTTTGCAACCAAGTGAAGATGGCTGAGGGTCATGTTAGAAATGCAGGAATAATAAAAATAAACATAAACATAAATATAAAAATAATATTTTTTATTTATACCCCGCCCATCTAGCTGGGTTTCCCCAGCCACTCTGGGTATATAAGCTGGATGTCAAATGGCTCCTTAAAACCGAGGTTACAGTCGCCAAAACAGAATGCTGTTTTGGAACAAGGTGGCTCTAAAGTCATACAGTCAAACCTCGGTCCCCGAATGCCTCCGTTTTGAAACGTTTTGGCTCTTGAACATCGAAAACCCAGAATTAAATGCTCCGGTTTTCGAATGTTTTTCAGAAGCTGAACGTCTGACACGGAGTTCAGGAAGCTCCTGCAACCAGTCGGAAGCCGCGCCTCGGTTGTCAAACATTTTGGTAGCCGAACGGGCTTGCGGAATGGATTGTGTTCGACAACCGAGGTTTGACTGTATTTTTCAAATGATGGGCCGACTGTGATTGATTCTTTGTTAAACATCTGGGTAGTTCAGATGAGCACCTTGAGCTAGTTGAAGAACTTTTAGAGCTTAAAGAAGAAAAGTCACTTGATCCAGAATATTTGGAGCAATAATTGGCCATGAGACTTTGAAAAGCTGGTGTCGCTGGATCTCGTTTGTCAGTTTTGTTGAATTAATTAAACTAAATGGTTTTAATTGGATTTTGAATAAATGTGCAGTTAATTGTCACTGTTTTGAATTTTATTGTGCTATTATCTTCCTTAGTATAATGCTTCCTTCCATATAATGCTCTGTATACTGAATTTCTGCTTTTATAATCGTGTAAGCCTTAGTCCCTTAACAGGGGAGGGGTGTGTGTGTCAGAGAGTGAGGGAAATTGATGTGTAAAGCAATATTTTATCATTCAAACAGGTGGCTGAATCCTTTATTTGTTACCGGTCATAAAAGGAAACTAGAAGAGGATGATATGTTTCAGGTACTCACCGAAGATTCCTCTAAGGTGCTTGGGGAGGGGTTGCAGTGGTAAGTAGGCAACCGAATATCAGTAATTGTATTTGGATTTTTTTTTTTATTCTTCCACAGCATGCATCAATCTGTCTCTTCCCCAGGTCAAGGATTTTTGAAATGTATGAGAGGAGAAACCCTCTAGTACCAGCTTTCTGCTCTATCTCTGCATGGTGTTCTTGTATATTGGAGTTCTTGTGAGGCAAGACAGGTTTTTCAATGGCTCAAGTATCAGAATTGCCGTGGATTGCATTTAAACTGATTTCCGGCTTTCTCTGTGTTGCGGAAAGTACCGTAACCATTTTGATAGATCTCTCAATAACTTTTTAAGTGCGGGCTTATTCTGACCTGTGCCTGTTTATAGGGTCAACTTGTCCTTGCAGGAAAAGCAAACAACTGATGCTTGACTGCTCTCATAAGCTCAGGAGAAGGCCTCTCTCTTTCCCAGCAAATTATCACAGTTCATCTTATGTTTCTGTACAGTTGATACATGAAAGCGATCATTTTGTGGACTGATACTCGTCTTTTTCTTTCTTTCATTTTCTTTCTCTCTCTCTGCCCCTTCAGCATCCTTCACTCATGTTTTATTTTATAGGTACTGGGACAGAGAAGTGCAAAAGGCAAAAAAGGAAGCGAGGATGCCACATTTAACAAAGGCGATTATACTTTGCTACTGGAAATCTTATCTGCTCCTGGGATTTTTCACGCTGATTGAGGTAACGCAATGAAAGAGATGCACTGTAAGATCATAGAAATCATAGAATCATGTAAAATTGGAAGGGACTATGAGGATCATTGAGTGCAACCCCCTGCAATGCAGGAATAACAGGGATCGAACCTGCGACCTGGGCATGATCAGCACCACGCTCTGACCAGCTGAGCTGTTTTGCAAGGCAGAATTCGGTGTGGTGGTCCTGCTCTCTTCCTCTCCCTTTCCCTCAAGCCTCTGCGTGCTGAAATCCCACCTCTCTTTTCCGAGCGTCGATACCCTTGCAGCTTTCTCTTTAAATGCGGAAGACAACAAACGGGCTAGAGACACTAGCCGCAAGCGGTACTCCTCTGTGTATTTTTGGTTTAGCGGCACTAATTAAAGCTGTTTTTCTGCCTTCAGGCAAAGCTGCAGGGTTAACTGACTTCAGTTTGGCTGCTCAGTTTGATTGCTTTTTCTCTAGGAAGTGCCACATTCACACAATATCTTTAAAGTTCTATGATCCCACTTTAAACCTTCGTGGCTTCGAGTGGCTGTAGTTTGTCCAGGAGTTGTTAGGAGACCCCATTTCTCTTCCAGAGCAGAGTGGTTTTAGGAACCAGTCCTTCTTCTTAGGAAACTCTGGGATTTGTAGCTGTGTGAGGGGAATAGGGGGTCTTCTAACAATTCTCAGGGACGCGGGTGGCGCTGTGGGTTAAACCCCAGAGCCTAGGACTTGCCGAGAAGCCTGGAGGTTCAAATCCCCGCGATGGGGTGAGCTCCCGTTGCTCGGTCCCTGCTCCTGCCAACCTAGCAGTTCGAAAGCACATCAAAGTGCAAGTAGTTAAATAGGTACTGCTCCAGTGGGAAGGTAAACGGAGTTTCCGTGCGCTGCTCTGGTTTGCCAGAAGCGGCTTAGTCATGCTGGCCACATGACCCGGAAGCTGTATGCCGGCTCCCTCGGCCAATAAAGTGAGATGAGCGTCGCAACCCCAGAGTCAGCCACGACTGGACCTAATGGTCAGGGGTCCCTTTAACAATTCTCTGCGCCTGTAATAAGCCACAACTCCCAGAATTATTTTTGGGGCAGCCTTAGTTGTTTAAAGTGGTATCATAGTTCTTTCAACCTATAGTGTGCATGTGCCCGGTGACTTCAAATGCAGCAGTCATAGTGCTGAGAGTATGCCGATGTTGTCCCACGTTTAGCCACAGCACCCAGGTAGGTCGTATATTTCCTTTATAGCCTGTAGTCTCCAAGAGGTCATGTCATTTTTGGTAGGGTGTGGACAGATGAGGGCTCCTAGACAGATTATTTTCAGAGAGCTAGTGTAGCACCACAGCAAACAGATTGCGCTATGAACCTGAAAGTTCCAGGTTCAAATCCTGCCATTGCTTTGAATTTTCCAGGTAAGCAATTTTTCCCTCGCAGTCTGACTCGCGCTCTTCAACTACACCATTGTGTCTAAGCACGTAGCAAAGCTTAGGTGCAACTGACCGGTGTAGGAAGGTAAAAAAAATAGTCCCCATGATGTGCAGGAACATTTTCTATTATCTACGAAACAGTGGACTAAGATGGTTTGATGTTTGCTGGTTAAGATGATTCTGCTTTTGAAGCAAGTTAAAATGAGACGCTACTCTCTTCTAGAGGAAGATTTTGCTATTACGATTCTGCTGTGTTTATTCAAAGCTTCTCCCCCACCCCCGCTTTTCTCCCCACTCTTTAGGAAACACTCAAATTAATCCAGCCTATATTTCTGGGAATGATTATTGCTTATTTTGAAAACAGTGGCTCGGATGTTGCCTTGAAATACGCCTATGCCTCCGCAGCTGCCTTGTCCGTGTGTACGCTGGTTTTGGCCATCTCTCACCACTTGTATTTTTATCACGTACAACGTGCCGGCATGAAGCTTAGAGTGGCCATGTGCCACATGATTTATCGCAAGGTGGGTAATATATTTCCTTTATCTCAATAAACAGGGCGCTTAAATATGTGGGGTCTTGCCTACTTTGGATAGGCTGAAGCAACTCCCTTTTAAAACATATGCTTGAAGTTGATAGCATTAGGAACAGGGAGGAAAAAAATCCATGGATAATATTTGGATTGTGATTAGGTTTTGTTTTATTTGACTTATTCTGCACTGGATCTTTGTTCAGAGATGTGGCTGTGAGGGCTGACTTTTTGAAGCAAAACAATGCAAACTGGAGAGGCCTTGGCAGCCATTGTACACACTCCTAGACCTTTACAGGAACATACCAAAAGAGGCTAAGAAGAAAGATTTAACTGTCAAGGTCCAGGAATGTGGGCTGATGCTGGGAGGATGAAATACAAACCCGGGGTAGTAGTAAATCAGTTTCCAGCGGCTTCTTGTTTGTGACATGGTGGGCCTAAATTTTGTTTTCATTCTTGCCCTTGAACTCAGGAACTTGAACCTTCACTCCCCACCCCAAATGTCTCTGACAAAAAATTTCCTCCTGTATTTGCAATATAAGACATGGGTAGGGCTGGGGAACATATCGTCCAAAACAGGTTTGAAGTCCATATTGTGATATCGGTTTCATAATTTTTGACCTGGCAATATATCATGAATCATGATGTGTGTTTTTGTGCTATGCAAAAATCAGAATGGGGGGAAATCGGCGAAGCCAGCCAATTCCTCTACATAATTCCATCCTTATTTCAGACGTTATGATATATCAATATATTGCAATGTTTAGATGGTGGTATGTTGGTCTTGAAAACCAACTATTGCCCAGCCCACATGGGTGGAATACATTTTCTTTTCCCTGTTAATGGCTGCATTCCCTTGGGGTTGCTCTGTTGGGGTCAAATGTTGATGGTTAAACCAGCAGTGGCCAGGACCAGAAGGGGCTGGGGCCATTCTTTTTCTCTTTCATGCCCCACCTAGCAAGTTGCTGACAGACGGACTGATCGCTGTTGTCTGAACTGATCCCTTGCAGATCTTATAAGGTTGTCCCAAGGTAAAGAGATATTGCTAAAGATCTAGGACTGAATTAAAATAGGATGCTTTTTTTGGACAAAGAGCTTGGAAAATTGGGATGGAACACACTTATGAGTGAAAACATGGGAAATTGGCATGGATTGGAACTGGACCCACCCATTTTCTAATAGTTTTGCTAACTGGTCTTGAAGGGGGCCAGGACTTTGGTCCTTCTTATGAGCCCTGCAGCAGGGTAAAATTCAGGTGTTTGCCTAGGCATTGCTGTGATCTATGGTGGGAGATGCTCTCCCCATGGAACCAGTTTATAATGATTCATCTAAGGTGCAGCTAGCTAGCAACTTACCCCCCCCCTTTGTGTGTGTGTGTGTGTGTGTGTGTGTGTGTGTGTGTGTGTGTCTGTCTGTCTGTGCTGGGTTGGAACCATAGTGTATGCATATATATGTGTGTGTGAGCTGTGTCTCTAGTCTTGGTAAAGCTGCATTTGTTTTTAGTGCATTTGCTGATACCTGGGAAATCATCCCTTAGGAGTTATCTTGTAATGGAGTAAGCACATGGCTTTCTTGTACATAAACATATCTCTGAGGTATTAATTTGCTGTTCCAGATGAGAGAACTCAAGTCTGTTATGGGATTTAATAAAATAATAAAATAGCCTTTACATCAAACGCTGCTTGTGGAGAGTAAAAACCAGTTTGATGGGGAAAAGACAAATGGGCTTGTGTTATGCTCTTATCTCTTTATTTTTATTTTTTCTGTTTTATCTTCCCACATTGCAGAAGTCCTGGAACACACTAAGCATGGATCTTTGTCAAACTGTGTAGGGGGGGGGGTGTTTGTGGGGAGTAAAGTGGTTGCAGTTTTCTCCACTTCCACCAGCACACTGTGTGCTCACCATTAAACCATGGTTAATCTTGACCATGGTTTAAAGTGACATGTGAGAGGCATTGTTATGTGTCGTTTGAGGTTGGAATCGGTTTTAGTTTTGAAAAACAACTTTTGGATAATGATGAGATCAGGGTAGTTTATGGTGCGTCATTTGTAAGATATAGGTTTGTCCTTGTGAGTCATGTTGCCTCACTTTCAAATTGTTTGGAAAAAGTAATGTTGACAGGGTGTGTTGGAGGAATGATGCTGATTTATAAAGCACATCACTGTTTGGTGGTGTTTTGCTTAGAAACCTCAAAAGACCAGGATCTGGACACAGTGAATTGTGTACACAGATTGGCTTCCATAGTTGGCCTGGAAGTCAAGGACTATTGAGTACAAGGTGTTCCTCAGTAGAAGGTCCCGACAATGCGCTACAGCATAGATATGCACAATAAGAAGCTCTGTACTTCAAATGTTGCCAGTATTGTCATGTGAGAGATGCAGGAAGAGAAGCTGGCTTCATTCCCAGTCCTTTACTTTCTCTAAAACAAATCCCACAGAAATCCTTTCATAACAGTAGAAACCTTCAACAGTTACGTTCTTCTAATGCAGGAACTTATCGCCCATGTATGTTTTGAAGATACACCTGTTTACACAGGCATTCTCGTAATCTTTCGACCTGTGTCTCACGTTTTAATGGGATTGTTTTGTGGCTTATTTAAATTATGGATGTTTATAATACCTGTGCAATTGGTCTTTAAACCTGTAAACCACTTAGGAGCCTATTTTGGCGGTTTATAAGGACAAAAGAGCTTGCTTGATAAGCCAGAGCCTCATCTAGTTCAGTATTCTCAGGGTTGCCAACAAGATATCTGTGGGGAGCCTGCAAACAGAACCAAGTCTGGAAAATATTGTGAACAAAATACCCTACAATGCAACTAGAGAAATTAGACTTCTCTCTCTCTCTCTCTCTTTCTCTCTTTCTCTCTTTCTCTCTCTCTTTCTCTCTAGGCACTTCGTCTGAGCAATGCAGCCATGACAAAGACTACAACGGGCCAGATTGTAAATCTTCTATCAAATGATGTGAATAAATTTGATCAGGTAAGGCCCAGTATTGATAGCGTGGAATTCAGATAGTGCTTTGCTTCGGGGGAAACAAGCCACAACCAGCTTTATTTCTTCCATACTCTAGGAGGGATTAGTGAATCGGGAGTCATTGGCATGTTCACAGTAAACCACCCATCACAATTTAACCTGAAGCACCCAGTGTCATGACAGTATTGAGCACCCAACTCTAGGGGTGCTTTTAGCACCTTGTTCTTTTATATGGTGAACTCTCTTCTGAAAAAGGGCTCACAGTGAGGGCTTGTCCACACT